AAGTAATTTTACAGAAGAAAAAAAGATGTATGAATATGTATGGACATATTTCATATATAATTATACATGTTTATGAATATTTGAGAGAGAGAGAGAGAGAGAGAGAGAGAGAGAGAGAGAGAGAGAGAGAGAGAGAGAGAGAGACGAGAGAGAGAGAGAGAATAAGATGGTAAGTAGGATTGCAACGAGAGGAAGAGAGAGAATTGCATACTGCAAATGGGTGGAAGAGAGGGAACAAAATCCTTTTCCTGTAGACCCCTTGCCTATCGACGCACTGCCCCCTCCCTTACTCCTCGGACCTAGTATCTGTGACGTACTCGCGCCCCTCCCTTGATCCCTCATATACACATACACACCGCATATATATGAATACGCACTAACACTAGTGATCCAGAACTCGCCTAGCTATTCTACTGGCTTTAATAATGCCCAATATAAAAATATATACATATACATGTATATATATATATTTTTTTTCTTTTTCTGACCAGTTTCACATTCTGGGTTTGAGAGAACGAGTGGTCGTTGTCCTCCGATTCTTTCCGCTTCATCGGCGACACTTCTTCAAGTCGAGGTTCTGGACTCGATATTGATTCAAGGTCTAACCGATACGATCATGGAATAAAAAATTTGCTCACTATTACAAACAAAATTTCGAAAGTAGATGTACATTCAGTATGCCATAAGTTGCAAAATTCCACAGCTCTGAATGACAAAAATTTAGATTGTCTTTTCGATAAAACTAAAAAATGTTTTATAGATATATCTTTTCGTTTTGCCGAAAAGACACCTGAAAAAATATCTTTTCAATTCATGAGACATCTGTTCGTTTTCTGGAAAATAATCTAAAAAACTCTTTAGTCATTCTTTAGTTTTTTGTGTTGTCTGAAAAATTTATGCAAGTGGAGAGATACTGTCGCATTACATCAATGAGAAGATGCCATATTTTTTGTAACTTAAAACAACTGGAACGCGTATTCTGTCAGTTATCACCTATGCATTCTCAATTAAAAATAAATTAATTGAAGCATCAGGTTCTATAATATAGCAAAAGAACGTCCATACAATGTTAATGACACTGGGGACACTAGGATACTCAATGTCAAGAATGTCGTAAAATAAATTAACCATACATCTCAGGTTAAATGTTTGTTCAGGTTGCAGGCTTAAATATTCTCTCTTTGTCAGGATAAAATCGTCGTAAAATTTTCATCTGCCTATAAAAATACGATCTGTCTATAAAAAAGCTGACCGTTTAAGACCGTGGTAATCGATTCTTATTTCAAGACCGTCTTAAGTAATGTCGTAAGATATGCTAAATACGGTCCTGTGATTTACTTATCACATCTTAAGATTGTATTGACAATATAATTTTAAATATAAGAACGACTATGAGTATCAAGCTACGGAGAATATTTTATCTACTATTAGTTAACTTAGACCAATAAAACGCTATCTAAAAGAATTATGGAGAAACGGTATATTTATCATTACTGAAGCTTAATATAATTTATGGAAAGGGAATTCATGTGAAGCCAAGGTTTTTTATTCTGCTATATGTATAAAATGAAATATTAAAAAATAAATTTACATGTTTGATGACAATAACTTATTTTAATTTAATTGAAAATTATATCTTTGTTATGTTAATGTCCTTTCTTTTTCTTTTCTATAAATTATATATACAGGGTGAGCTATTAGAATCTGGACAAAATTTAATTTAATTTTGCCCGGATTCTAATGGCTCACCCTGTATACATAACCAGTAAACAGGCTATGCGCAATTTCGGAACATTTACATAGCATAGTGTATGTAAATGTTACAGAACAGCACAATGAAAACGTAGCAGGTATATCATTGACGTAAAATGGCTATAACTGTTACGTATGACCGTACTGTTACTATTTCGATGCATAGTTAACGTAACATTAATATAATTTGAATAACATCAATTTTCATTCTCTGCAAACTTCGTAAATGTTACGTAATTGTGATAATGTTACGTTATTTATGTTACCATTCTGCCCTTATGCGCAAGATTTATCATTATTTTCCAAACACCCTGTATGTGTGTGTGTGTGTATATATATATAAGTTTTTAAAACATAAAGAAAATTAGCTAATTATTATATATATTACGGTTACAAACGTAAAGTTACAAGCAATAGTTTCAAAGTACAATTTAAAATTTAATCGTAATCTGTAATTATATAGTCAGTTGTAAACTAGACGTTACGATTTTAGAGCTAATTTAAAAAAACTATAATCTATTTAACAATAAAATTAGATTAAACTTATAATTTTGTAGATTACGATTAAATTTAACCGTAGTTTATACTCGGGCAATTTTAAACCTTGTCTCAAAAATTACTGTTTTAAACGATAAATGACAGGAGTATATTTTGTAAATAAATCATTTTTTATATATATAAAATTATATATATGATATTTCCCATAATTTTACGAGATTTTATTCAAATTCAATTATATGTATGTATGCGAGAGATAATACATATTTATCTCATTGTTTCTAATATTTTTGTCGTGTAATTCATTGAACTGTTGAATGAATTTGTTTCAACGAACACAAGGCTGTACTAGATTTTACAAAGGTTCCAGATATAAAGTTTATATAACATTATATGTGATTTTCTAGAACGGTTCAATGGTCCAGACAATCTACTTGTCAGATTTAAAAGAGAAATCAACGGTCCTTGAATAACGTTTAAGCTTACGCGCATTGAAATTGTTTTTAGCTATTTATGGCAAAAATAGAATGGAATATTTAATAAGAATTTTGAAAATAATTTAGATTTAGTCTTTGAAATATTTTTCAATAAAATCATTGTTGACATTGTTGATATTAGAAGAGTAAATATATTATGAACAAATATTATTTTATATTGGTCTTTAATCTTTAAAGAGGATGGGTCATTTTTTTTAAATCTTGCGTCTTTTCTTTAAGTAAGATTTATTATAATTCATTGTACTCGCACTCTTTGCTTCAAAGTATAACATTGTATCAGTGCCACTGTAATGGTTTTCCGTCTAGCAATATTTAAAAACAATCTTCTAAAAGTTTGTTACAAAGGGTTTATATAGATTCGCTGCAATTTGATGTTCATAATTAGAAATTCAAAATAGCAGATCTAACATTGCGGTTTGACTACCGAAAAAATATAATACATTTTTGTGAAACTCACAAAGAATTTTTTTGACGTTGAAAAAACAAATAATAATTGAAAACTATGTATATAAAATTTTGAGAATGTATGGAAACGATAAATCGAATAAAGCGTATACATAACGATATATACAAATGATGGAGCATGAATAAGGCTTATTAGTATATAAAGATAAGATACAAGTTTTTATTTGCAAGTATATGTAGCGTCACATGGTAACTACCAAACAGTTAATTTTAGTATTAAGAGTCTGGCAGAACGAGTATTAACGATAAGAGTTAGCATAGAAATTACAACATGAAAACTAGAATATAGCATTTTATAGTGGTGCTCCCGTCTTGTAAAGATTAATTGAATTTTAGATTAAAATTGCTATTAATCAATAATTGAATATCGTACAGAGATGTGAATATTACATTTAAGTAACATAGATTAGATTACCAATAATTTTTTTCTAATACTTTTATGTAAAAAAATAAAACTAACGAATGAATAAAAGTATTAAATTAAGAAAACAAACTGTTCTTCCACAATTATGTTTCTTAGAATTACAGCTTTATCTGAGAAGCTTAACGAGTTCCACTAGTTCTCTATTGAGCGAATTAAATTGAACAACGATTAAATGATTCGTTGAGATTTATTCTTAGCTCTGTTTCTTCTCACGCTTTACTTTTTCTTGTCTTAACAATGAATTATTATATGAGGAGCGCATGCAAAGTTTTATTATACCCACGAATAAATTAAATTGCCAATTGGCAATTTGTCCAAATATCTGAGGGCACAGTCATGGCCACGTAGAGTTGACTGTGTTGTTCAAACGCTTTATCGATCACAGGAAAAGAATGCGACAAAAATTAAAGAAAATTTAGGAGTTGCAACGCGAAAAAATAGCTGTGTGTGTGTGTGTGTGCAAATATTTCCGGTTCTTTTGTAACGGATTTTTTGAGCATCAAAATACTTTGTCTTCTGAGCAGTACATCGTCTCGCGTTAATACCCTGATTTGGCCATGAGTGGATATTTTCAGGAGCGCCGCGAGGCGTCGGGGATTTCCAACATATGCCAAAAGCATCTTCGGCAACGAGAATGACTACGAGAAGCCAAAAGAAGAAGAAAACAATGAAATAAAAAATAAGATAATGGAGATTACATGAATTATACTATTTGTATACATAATTAAGTTGCTGAAAAATCAATTAGATCCATAAGATTCGTAAATTCGTAATTTTATTTTATATACCATATCTTATTTAAAGTGAACTTATATATTTCTGTTACGTTCTTGTATAATCTTTAATTGTGTAATTTTTAATGTAGTGTCAATTTTACAACGTTTTCAATATTTTTCATATAAACTGAAATTTAAAAAATGTGATCCCAACTGTGTAACACAGTGATGAGATCGCAATGGAAAAAGTATTGCATTATTTTAAATCCTTCTAAAAAAATCGACTACTGCAATTTTGAAAACCTCCTTACTCAGTTCAATTAAAGATCTATTTCAAGATTAAAAATAGACAATCTCTTATGAGCTGCGGCAGATGAAGAGCAGTTAACTACAGCAACGGTGATGGCAACCCGCGTCTAGATTAGGAGATATTTACTGGATGCGGGGATTTCTAAGAGAACGTGAACAAGAGAAAGATGAAGGAAGAAAAGAGAAGGGAAGAAAGAAGAATGACGACGACTAAGAACGATGCGTCGCCGCCGTTTTCACCCAAAGGCGTCTCTCAAACCAAGCGACGTCGTGGCCACCCGGGCTTCCTGGTCCGTGTACCACCACTCGCGTGCCTATCGGCGTGTTAGGCGTGGGCAGCATCGCTGGCTAGCCCTCGAAGCGTCTCGCGTGCCCATCTTCGGTAGCATCGCGTATCGCGCCACAGACGTTATATCTGGCGTCGCGACGCCCTCGAGCCTCAGCCACTCCTCAGCCGCCCGTCGATTCACAGCTCACCCCAACGGTTAGTAACATATCCGCGAAACGTTCCTTTCTGTGCTTGCTCGACATCTTGAAAATTTACGCGCGATTACAAAAGTTAAGTGTCGACAAGAGATTCTAAAAAGGAAAAAACAGAAACGTGTCAGTGTATAAATCAAAGGATTCGATTTAAAGATCAATTCTGTAATGCGATCAAAGTTGGAAGAAAGAAACTGGATTGATTTTGAAGTGAATTAAAGCATTGACTGTAACAATGTTGTGTCATTGTATATAGTACAATAGAAAAATTCTTGCAAAAGACTCTGTATGTTATACTAGAGGAAATGTAATGACCAATTATTTAAACATTAGTATTCGTCAACATACAAATTGTTTTTTTTTTTTTCATAAAATAACTAGAATTTGATATTTTAATTATAATAAAAAGATAACATCATTTTAATCAATATTTTAATCATTTAAAAATAAATATAATTTGGAGTGTACTACACTTATTATTTTTAAAAAGTAAAGATTATTATTTTATCGGAAATATTATTATTTTTTAAGAAAATTTAATGATACCTTTGAAAACTCTAAAATAGTTAAAATAGTCAATTTAAATATTGAATCGGCTAGCTTAATCAGATATAATTATATGCCTGCTTATAATTATTTGAAGATGTGTTCGTACGAAAATAAATAGAATTACATGAAATTGCAAATACAATTAAACCTTAAATGGAATTGGTAAAAAATTTCATTATTTCAATTATACTCGGAAAAATCAAGAGAAAACTAGTTTGTAATTCGATATAATCGAACCGTAACTTAATTGAATAAATTTTTTTTACAGAAAAACTAAAGCAGCAGTAAAATGTGTGATGACGAAGTAGCAGCCCTCGTCGTAGATAATGGTTCCGGCATGTGCAAGGCAGGTTTCGCCGGAGACGACGCTCCCCGCGCCGTCTTCCCCTCGATTGTTGGTCGACCTCGCCATCAGGGAGTGATGGTCGGCATGGGTCAGAAAGACAGCTACGTGGGTGACGAGGCCCAGAGCAAAAGAGGTATCCTAACACTAAAATATCCGATCGAGCATGGTATCATCACTAACTGGGATGACATGGAGAAGATCTGGCATCACACTTTCTACAACGAATTGCGCGTCGCACCAGAGGAACACCCTGTCCTCCTCACTGAAGCGCCTCTCAACCCAAAAGCTAATCGCGAGAAGATGACGCAGATCATGTTCGAAACCTTCAACAGCCCGGCCATGTACGTCGCCATCCAGGCTGTCCTTTCCCTATACGCTTCCGGTCGTACCACCGGTATCGTCCTAGACTCCGGTGACGGTGTCTCTCACACCGTACCTATCTACGAAGGTTACGCCCTTCCTCATGCCATCCTCCGTCTGGACTTGGCTGGTCGCGATCTTACTGATTATCTCATGAAAATCCTCACCGAGAGAGGCTATAGCTTTACCACCACGGCTGAGCGAGAAATCGTCCGCGATATCAAGGAAAAGCTGTGTTATGTCGCTCTGGACTTCGAACAGGAGATGGCCACCGCAGCTGCCAGCACCTCTCTTGAAAAGAGCTACGAGTTGCCCGATGGTCAGGTAATCACCATTGGTAACGAGAGATTCCGCACACCAGAGGCTCTCTTCCAACCTTCCTTCCTGGGTATGGAATCTTGCGGTATTCATGAAACCGTCTATAATTCCATCATGAAGTGCGACGTCGATATCCGTAAGGATCTCTACGCCAATAATGTCCTCTCCGGTGGTACTACCATGTATCCCGGTATCGCCGATCGTATGCAGAAGGAAATCACTGCCCTCGCGCCCTCGACCATCAAGATTAAGATCATCGCTCCTCCTGAGAGGAAGTACTCCGTATGGATCGGTGGTTCCATTTTGGCTTCTCTGTCTACCTTCCAGCAGATGTGGATTTCCAAACAAGAGTATGACGAATCTGGCCCTGGCATTGTCCATCGCAAATGCTTCTAAACGCATCATTACACGATTGATGCAACAGCGTAATTTAAAAAAAAAAACACGTTTGTATCTCTGGGAGAACGCACAAATAACATGCAATTCTGGCCCGAGCAATCAAGCTGCTATGAGAAAATATCAGAGCATTATCATCATCATCTCTCGGTCCTCATCAGATCTCATGGAATCATTGTCACGGCTTCGTTCATCGTTTTTGCATAAATAATGGCGGCCTGGTTAATCATCCTCAACGCCGCAACCTTTTGTAAAACTGCGCTCGATACCATCATTGCTCACTTAATGTTATCATCATGGCCGAGGTAGTGGTTGGCGAGATTGGCTCTCGTCTCAGGACTTTTCTTACGGTAGCCTTGGATGTTGTCAAGCATTGGATCTTTGTATATGTAAATGTAGATGGATGCTACCAAGTGCATCTTTTGATCCACGAATGAAACCTTCTGGGCAGACATAAGAACAGGCAGGAACCTCAAAATTACGCTTGGCAACGAGCTTCGAGACTACTTCGGGAAAATTGCGCTTTTTTCACTGTCACGTGAGCGTTTCTCACCAACGTTCGAGAAATCGACCCTCTCTTAATACGTACTACATATTGATTACGTCTAGTCTGCTAATCGAAGCAACTAAGTATCTACCAATGTACTTCTATATTTTAATTTATTTTGTAAATATTATACATTATGTTATTATATATTGTTATACAATGTCAAAGTGAATTCAAATACACATTATATCATATAATATCAGTATTGTTTTTGCTACATGAACTTTTTCATTACCTCCCGTAAACTTTATAGCTTTATTTCTGCGATAATAGAAAAGAACAAGGACTCTTAATAAAAAATATAACCAATCTAAATAAAGGGACAGAATAAGAGTCAAACATTTTTTTTTAAATTAATTTAACTAATAGCTTATTTTCGAACAAAGTGTAAGGTCAAAAAGTTTATAAAATGACGGATTCCAAAACAGAATCTTTGAAATAATTATATTGAATTTAAGAAAAAAAAAATTCAATAAATCATTATAGCGAAAAAAGATATGGTAAAAGTATCGATTATGGGACCCCCTCCAATGACCTTGACCTTGACATATGTTATCAAGGTCATGACCCTGAGTGACCTCCAACAGGTTTTAACCGTTGCTCACCCTTCGTGAAAAAGTTATTAATAATTAAAGTTTTAAAAATATTAGGTGTTGAACTTAATTCCTGCCGTTTTTCGTCTCCAAAATTGATTTGTTTCAAAGGGAAATACCTTAATCAAAGTATTATTAATAAAGTATTATTAATTAATAATAAAGTAGAAAATGGAGGAAATTACTTTGATTACGGTATTCATTCATCTTCCCTTCGAAACAAATCAATTTTGGAGACGAAAAACGGCAGGAATTAAGTTCAACACCTGATATATACCAGGTATGTAAATATGAAACCGGAATTTTTTAATAGAAAATACACGTTTATTACATGAAAATGATAAAAAATATTTTATTCGAAGTATTGCCCATCGCTAGCTATACATTTTTCCAATCTGTCTGACAAGTTGTGGATGCAACGCCAAAAAAATTGAAATGAAGAAATGAAGAAATGAAGCGCTGCTGAGCAAGTGCGTGTCCCATCGATGCAAATAAGTAGTAATCGGACGGAGCCAAGTCTGGTGAGTAAGCCGCATGCGAAAGTATTTCCCAACCAAACGCCTCAATCGTTTCCTTGACCAGTTTTGCTGTGTGTGATGGTGCATTATCATGAAGCAAAATCACTTTGTATTGCCTTTTTTGATATTCCGGTCGTTTTTCACGCAAAGCTTGATTCAAATTGATCATTTGTTGTCGGTAGCGTTCCGTATTAACGGTTTTGCCAGGTTTTAGCAGCTCATAAGAGATCACACCTTTCTGATCCCACCAAACACAGAGCATTGTCTTCCGTCCATAGCGATTTGGCCTTGCAGTCGATGTCGATGGTTCGCCTGGAGTTACCCATGATCTTTTACGCTTAGGATTCTCAAAATATATCCACTTTCCATCGCCAGTCACAATTCGATGGAGAAATGACTTTCTTTTGTACCTGGCGAGCAGCATTTCGCAAGTGGTTTTTCGGTTTTCCTGCTGTCTTTCATTCAGTTCATGTGGAACCCATTTTCCCATCTTCTGGATCTTTCCCATGGATTTCAAACGTATGGAGACGGCTTCTCGTGTCACATTCAATTGATCCGCGAGTTGTTGAGTTTGAGCGTCATCCTCATCCAACAATGCTTGCAATTCGCTGTCTTCAAACTTTTTCGGTGGTTTTCCACCTTCTTCGTTTCTCACGTCAAAATCGCCACTTTTGAATTTTTAAACCACTCAAAGCACTGTGATTTACCAAGAGCATGCTCGCCGTAAGCTTCGACAAGCATTCGATTCTGCAGCAGTTTTCTTCAAATGGTAACAGAAAATCGATGCTGTCCGCAAATCGCAGTTTCCAGGCACAAAATTCGACATGTTCAACGCTATTACAAACTATACTGTTGTATGAAACTTATATTGTTGTGAGTTGAAAATCTTTATCAGATGTCAGAACAAGGAAATGGCGTCAATGATGCGGTCTGACGGCAATTACATTGACAGCTATGGCCATTTATATTGGTAAATTTCGGTTTCATATTTACATACCTGGTATATGCGCACAATTCTCACTTTCGACTCTCACCCTCCTCTCCCCCTACTTCAGAGGCACACGACTCTCACCTTCGACTCTTACACCCCTCTCCCCCTGCTTCAAGGGCGCCCGACTCTCACCTTCGACTCTCACCCCTGAAAAGTCGTACGCCCCTGAAGCAGGTGAGGAGGGGGATGAGAGTCGAAGGTGAGAGTCGTACACCCCTTTGCAGGGGCGAGGGGGTAAGAAAGTCATATGCCCTTAATGAGTCCATACCTGTCTTACTGCCCAGAGTTATTTGACTTTTCATGTAAAGCAGTGAAACAATTACTAATTTTAACGTTAATAACTTTTTAACGAATAACGAGCGACGACTAAAACTTGTTGGAGGTCACTCAGGGTCATGACCTTGACAACATATGTCAAGGTCAAAGTCATTGGGAGGGGGAGGTCCCCTAATCGGTACTTTTACCTAAAGATATTATAGAAATGTTAAGAACCTTGGTACGAAAAAGAAATATAAAGTTAATTATAATTATTGAGACCGTAAATTACGAATACAAAAATAAAATATGACAACTAAAAATGATTGAATCAATATAGCGGACATAAATACTAAAAGCGCCAAATTTAGAGAAAATGTAACGTTGTAAGGAAATAAAACATACAGATTCCTATTACAAATTAAAAATTGGGAATTAAAAAATGCTTGATCCAACATGATGGACGTAAAGGGTTTCGAGCACTGAGCTCTATACATATAGGAATGAGTCTTCTCGATGTTAACAATGGTGGGGGAAGGCCAAATGAATGGGAAAAAGAACAATAAATATTAGATATCTGTGCTTTACTTAAATAGGAACAAAAATTAATATAAAAATAACAAGGCCAATAAGAGTCAATTTTGTTTATAAACCTTTAAACCATTATTAATAATAAAAAACCGTACGTACATACATAGCTTATTAAAAATCTTCCGACTAAATATTAAGTGCGTAAATAATTGGTGAGTGTTTTTTGTAAAGATGATGTTTTAACATATTAACGAGACGACAATTTTATATAGTTAATCATTCTAAATTTATCAATCTATTTGACAATAGTTTCTTCAATTTATTGTTTAATTTAATTTATTCTTTTATGGAGCTATTTAATTTTTCGGGATTCAATTCTCAATTTTTAATTGGATTTGTGAATGATTATGGTTTATTAGAACATCATGATACAATGAACAACAGATCGGTTAATCTTTTGGAAGTGGATCATGGTTCTCATGGAAGTACTCGACTATGTCAATGTATAGAAATATCACCACGAATTTTTTATATCGATATAAATGTATTAATAAGATTGTAAAGGATCTGAAGATGGCTCAATCCGAGAGCCGAAACATATAATTTTTAATAAGCTTATGTATGTACGGTTTTCTACTATTAATAATGGTTTAGAGGTTTATAAACAAAATTGACTCTTATTGGCCTTGTTATTTTTATATTAATTTTTGATTTTATAAGAGAGTACTTGATTATATTATTAACATTTTTAAATAGGAACCACAGGCGGACATACCCTATACAACCGTTAACATAGGAAAGGCTTATTCCAACATGTATAGAGCTCATTGGTTTTAAAGTACGTTTTGATTAAGTTTAAGTACTAAAAAAAAAGGAAGAAAAAATGATTAATAATATTTTATATCTTTATTCAAAACTTGGATGAGTATGTTAAATAATATGAAATTTAATGTATACGTTCATTATATTTAAATAACTACTGTAACTTAATTTTCAGTTAAATCATTCATTGCTTTTAATTTCGTTCATAACCACGAGCTTTATTTATAAGTAAAGGAAGTATTTCTAACAGTGTACACACATTTAATGAGACTTAAAATTCTTTAAATAAGAAATTACCTTTTTTAATTATATCATATTGATTTCGCATTGTGAGATTTAAAATTTCTGAAGTGTTCTATTTTTTTAAAAATGTTTCTCTTTGGTTTTATATATAATGAAAAAAATTATAAAATCGATCTATTTTATCCATCGTCTTTTATTTTGATAAAACTGTTACGTTGTGGCAAATTATCTTAGCGCAATTATTGGAAAGTTTTTGCCAATTCATGTTGTCATTATTTTCCAATTTGCTTACTGGGCTTCCAGCTGATACGCTCGCTGATTTTGAAGAAGATGCAGAACCATACGAATCTGCTTCTGACTACCAAAAATTATTATCTCATATACTTTCATTAGTTATCGTCTGTATAAGTCTCTCGTAAATGTTTTTAAACGTTTTATTGATATTTAGGGACGAAAATGTCCGCTGTAAAAGCTGAAGAAATTTATTTCCGTCGCATCGCATAATCTCAAAATATTTCTGGTAACTTAACATCTA